GCCATCCCCTTAATCTCTCGAGTTGTCTTTCCAAAGATTTTAGACCTTTTCTGCTGCCATCTTCAGGGGCTCTTTAACTGCTCTGAACTTCGAGGTATTTCCTTATTTATAAAATAACAGGGTTGAAATAAGTCACTTCTAAGATCCTTTCTAGCTTTCTATTTGTATGATACCATAGTTGGGGGAAATAGAATCAGAGATCTAGCATTGAAGGGTCTAACCACTTCGTTTTACAGATGAGGAAACTGAGAGAGAGGTTGAGAGAGGATGACACAATTAGTTTCTGAGATAGGAGGTCAAAGACTCTCATAATGAAGGTAAATGGCAACTGTCTGAGTGAGGAAGGATGGGAAAGTGGACAAGTCAAAGATTGGGGTTAGAGAATGGTCAGTTACTTGAAAGTGATGATGTTCCATGAGATGGTCAGGGCTGAGGCAGGACCATACTGATGTGTGGCTGACTGCAGGAGAGTAAGATTATTCATGTGTATGGTGAGGATATGAGAGAGGTTTTAACATGAAGAGTGCATGTGTGTGTGTGATGGCTAAGTTCTGAGTGTGATGGCTAAGATGTGGTGAAAGGAAAACTTGGAGGTAAGTAACAAAGTCATGGAGAGAGATGGAGGAGTAAGACGGAAAGCAGTAGATGATCACTACAAGAATCAGGAGAGGCTCTGACCATTGCGTTGGTCTTGAAGAAGTTAAGATTGTTCAAGAAGAGTGGTAACAGAATTTAAGCTCCCTGGGAGCAAGGACTCTTTTTATCCACAATGATGCTTTTTAATTTAATGATAGAATACTCCAGGTATTGCCATGGGACTTAAAAAGAAAATGCTGACCCCTTTGGGTGGTCCTGTGAATCAGGAGGAATAAGTGAAGCAGCCTCCAGCAGAGAAGGAAGGGACCATGTGATACTGTGAAGGTGTGATCCCAGAGCCCCAGGGCAGATATGGGCCACCAGGCCTATTAGAGTCAGAGAATATGAATCATAGATTCTAAACCTCCTAAATATCAGCTAATACATAACTACAGAGAAAGAAGCCTTTTCCTAAGAGGCTCAAGAGCAGAAAAGGACCTCAGATGCCATTCAGTCCAATCCCCTCATTTAACAATTGAGGTATTATAATAGGTTAAAATAATGAGGTTATAATAATTTGTCCAAAGTCACATAGCTAGTAAGTACCACAACACTGGTTCTCTGATTCCAATTCCAAGGTTTGTCCCATTACACTAGGCTACTTTCTGAGAGCCTCAGGTAGTGATTTTAGAGGGAATTTCAACAGCTCTTCCTTGCCTGTTCAGAGCATCATGGTATGGTGGAGAGGGCACTGGATTTGCAATTGGGAAGACCTGTGTTCAAATCCTTCCTCAGACATTACTAGCTGTGTGACCTCAGCCAAGTCACTTAACTTCTTTGTATCTCACTTTCACGTATAAAAATGGGCCAGGGGGGAATTTGAACTATAAGACCTTAGAAGTACCTTTCAACTTTAAATCTATGATCTACAATTTTGCTTTTTGTCTCTCTGGTTTGTGGTTGGCATTTAATAAATGATTGTTGATTTTAATTGGACTTTTGCATCTGCCAGCTCTAACATCCCCATGCTATTCTGAGACAGGTGCAGAATATATGATTATATGTAAAATATACAAATATCATAGTATAATATATTATAGTTATATATAAACCTATACATAAATACATAATTATATTATACATATGCACACATTATGTATATGTGTATATATTTCTACACATATAGATATTCATAGATCTATTTCTTATATATGTGCACATTTATACACATATAAATGTATAGATAATATATGTGTGTACTGGGGCCAACCCTGAGACATTATTTCTCCACTTCTAGGAGAATCCAACATAGAGAGGGTAGGAGATGGAAATAAATGAACTTCATACTGGATCTCTGTGCTTGTGACATGGAAGAATGGAAGGGTGGTGGGATTATTTCCTATTCTTCTCCATCTACTACTTGCTTTAAGCTGTCCCTTTCAGATTTCCATGAAGCCAGCCTCTGATGCAGAGACCGGGGGAGAAAAAGAAAACATCTGGGACTTAAAAAATGGACAAAGGGCTTCCTCAGGACAGCTGGTTACCTGGTGCACAGCTGCACTGACTCCACTAATTACTACCCAGAATCTTTGGAGAATCTGCTTTCCATTTTGATCCCACTGCTGTACATTTCTAGCTCTGATATCCAAATAGCAAATCATGTTATCGTGTAATTAAATGATAATCTTCATGACAGGGAAGATGACAAGACTATAAATGGTTCCTGCAAATGATTAAAATAACTTCCCCACAATCCACCCCACACCTGGAAGTGTTCTCAAAATTCTAAAGCCATTAGTTGTCAGCCAACTCTTTGTGTGATCAAAATCATTTCTGTTCAACAATACCCCATATTCAACAAGCTCCACCCCGAAAACTATAATCCCCTTGACTCTCGTAACTAAAGATGGTCATAGACACCCGTTTCTTCTAAGAGACAGTTCAGGCTCAGCAAAAGAGAATTGAGCTCAGATTTTGGCCAACTTACGGGTATGAGGAGAGGCAGCAGACTGAATTGAATAGTCAGGACGATTTAGCTCAACTGTTGCTGTGATACACACTGGCTGTGTGACCTTGGGCAAGTCACTATTCCTCTTAGTTCCCTAGGTTACTCTGTAATACTATAAATTGCAGTGAAGTTGTCATTCTACGTGGTTTGAGGTGGTTTTCACATAAGGAGCACCTTACATTAAAAAAAAAAAGCACAGGGGAAGGAAGGAAGGAAGGAAGGAAGGAAGGAAGGAAGGAAGGAAGGAAGGAAGGAAGGAAGGAAGGAAGGAAGGAAGGAAGGAAGGAAGGAAGG